GGGTGGAGCTTTCCAGATCCGCTGCCGCCAATCGCCACGCATGGAGAGATACTATTCGTAACATCATTGGGGCCGGCTAGATCAGGCATGATCACAGCCGTAACAACCAACTAACAACCAAACCATCTGATCAAAAAGGGTCGCAAGTTCGAGGGTCCGATGGGACACCACTTGGGTCTGGATATGACTGGCTGGCGAAGGCGAATAAGCCAGAAATGGCCATTTCAGTCGTCCTTGTCTTTGCCGGCAATACTATTTGTCTACGACTAGCTGTTAGTGCTGTCAGGGCCTCTGTCGAGGCCCAGCGCAGAGCGAAACAGATGAGCTCCGTTAGCGGTCAGGTGAACGTTCATCAACCAGGACGGAAGTAATTAATATTGGTGGTGGCACTGTGGAAGACGAAGTTGGTCTCGCAAAAGATGTGCTACTCTTAATAGCTGACTTAAAAGGAGAATTACTCAACACTCTTGCCAACGGTGGGGCGAAAACGAAGAGAAAAAACAGCTTGCGCCCAAGTGCTGGTTTTAGTGAGTATTTTCAACAAACGAGAAAAAGAAAACTGCCCAAATATACGCTATTTATTGCAGATTCATTAAAAAATGGACACTTCAATAATTCAAAATTACGAAAATATCACATGATAGGGATATGATTACATATCATAATTTTTAAATAAATCAATCTGTCCTTTTCCTCTCCTACTGAAAGACGATATTCACGATAGGGGGACCGATGAGGGAGGGAAGGACATTGAGGTAAGTTTGTGGTGGTGGGGGGTGGTGGTGATAGTTAAGGTGGACTGAGAGAAACGCAAAGCTATGGAACAGACTTTGGTGGGGTATTTGCCGAAATCCGCCAGGTTTCGGTGTGGTCAACAAGGGAATCGTACCACTGATCGGGCACGAGTTGAAAATTACGATCCATCTGATCTAGCAGACGTTCACGATAGTCCTCAGGCGTAATTATTGTCGGCATTGGACCCTGAGCGCTGGTAATGGTTTGCTTCACAAGCATTTCTAATCTTTTGTTGAGGGTGAACTTCCGCAGGTAGTCGATGATGCCCACAACCATATGTCCGGTGGAGGGGTCGATACCAACGAGGAGGGAATAGTCCATGATGAAGAGTTCGGAAAGGAACAGGGTATCCAGGTTGAGGCAGTGCATCAGCGCATTCTAAAAGTTCACAGTTAAGAGGGGACGTTAAGAACCCTAGGATTTAATCAGGGAGGCATAATACATGTATACAGTATGGCGGAAAAATCGTGCAACTTTAATGACGAAATTTTACTTGTTAGCTTAGCATAAATTTGGTCACATTATTTTTGATTCACTGAGTGGATTTAATCCTAAAAAAGCCTTAAGTTAGGAAAAATCGCCATTTTAGTTAGGTTTATGAAGAGAAATTGGCATTAATTTTGGCGAAGCTGGGAGCAGTCTCATATCGAAGGAATTTCCTATGCTATTACGTATGACAGAACCAAACTTCTTATTAATGTGCATTATGCTATGGAGGAAAATCAAAATAAGTAAAAAAAGATATAAAATATATCCCTCGCAGAACTGGAAAATGTTGTCCTAAATTGCTCCGATGCAAGTGAGTTCAGATTAAAGGAATTGTATTTATTGTCGGAAACAAGGAATAATTCCTGTTTTTAAAATTATTTTTGCTATTCTGTGAAGTTTTATGCCACAAAAAGCAGTAATAAATTTGTATGACAACTCATCAGCCAGTCACACCCAATCTCAAGGGTTGGAACCCCCAAGATTCGAACCTGGGACATTTGGTCATTGAGTTCCTGGGCGAAGAGGAACTTAATTGTTCCTCTACTAGATTGGTGAAGCACATATATTCATCAGATTGCTGATCTCAACCGATAAAGCAGCGAGTCCGTGATGCAATGGTGGAGTGGTAAACTGTCGAAAATTCACAATAAAGTTTGTTATCCTTTCCCAAAGAACTTCTCCTACCGAGATATAAAAATGTATACCAGAAAACAGCGCACCTTAGAGTGCAGACGTAGGTAGATCGGGTTTTCTAGAGCATTATTGATAAAGTTTTGATCCAACAAGACAGGAACTTTCGAAGGCGGCAGCGCCACCACGGCATCTCCGTTGGTCAAGCTGGAGAGCTTTGTTTGATTTGCGGGCCCAGCGGCGGAAGAGGGTGCCGCGACTGTGTGGTTTTCTGAGGTGGGCGCTGTGTTGCAGGAGTTTGACGAATTGTTGACATCCACCGCAATAGAACGGGACAGGGAGCTTCCCGACTTGGTAATGAGGCGACCACGAAGAGAACCCTTGAGATCGTAAATCTGTGTTATACCGGGTCGATTGTGAAAGAGATTTTCCATCACAAGGACATCCATCCTTCTGGCCTCGCCCGTGGCGCTATTTTTGAAGCCTACGTGAAACAGGCCGACGATGCGAGCTAGCACTGAAAGACGCTGCAACAGAAAAGGGAAAGTTGACAGGTACTTCGATGGGCAGAACCGGACAACCGAAGCGAACCAATTATGAAGGAAAGAGGGAGAAAATCAAGGAGAGAGTACTCACGTTTTCAAGGGCGGCACTCATAAGGTGGTCAAAATATTGCTGGTGAACCTCGTGGAAAGTTCGCATCTCGACAGCGGACACCTCCTTCACAACGAAACGCTCGTCTATAAAATGAACGTGGCAAAAAAGTGACTCGGTGTAAACCTCAAAACATAGAGAACGGGGTTTACGTTTTGTATGTTTTTGCAACAACACGCATAAGCAAATTTGTTTGATGGTATGTTGCTCTACCACAAGGGAAAAGGAAGACCTAAAGAAATACATATCGAGTACACGCGATATGCTCTCACTTTTCCTGCATCGCGCCATGCTACAAAGACGTCAAAACACTTGCTGTCAGTCATTTATTTTGAGGGCATATGGAAATTGATAGACGAAGGGCTGTTTTGTATGTTGGTAGCTACTACTTTTAGTATTACTGAGCTCACACTTTCAACAAGTACACGTGGTCCACAATCCAAACGTTAATACCTCCCTCTTTTCACTAGCACAACCTATCGCCGCAGGAGTCACGTCACCATAACCCTCCCGCCCAATCTCACCCCGTTCTTTGTAACCTCTGCTCCCCAAAACCTCTAGTGCGACATTCCCAGCCCTCACTTATCATTTAGTCTGACGACGAACAAGATATACCTGTTCAAAAATAACGAGTACAACTCGATTTTTCGAAGATTTTCTTTCTTGTCATAGAACACTGCCTAGAATGAAGCAAGGTGAAACAAAAAGATCCTCAAGCAGGCAGGAGAAAAATATAGTCGTCATGCATTAAATACGTTTCATTTAGGCTCAGTGGGACCGTCTGGCAGGACTATTTCTCAATGTTTCTTCTACGCTCAATTTGAAAAAGAAATTGGACCTCCGTCACCAAAATCATATGACGACTTTTGAATTAGGAAACTGATTGGAGGACGATTTTTTATTGTCTAGAGGTCTACTGATCACAGACTTCCATCCAATAAAAGCATTTATCAGCTTTTTAATCTCCAGAGAAATTAATTTCTGATCGCGGTATATATCA